CTATTTCTCATTACTCTAATAAATCATTTTGTCGTACAAAAGGTACATAAAGCATTGAGAAATCAGCGAACCAATAGTCTACAAACAGATGTACCATTCATCTAATATCTAACTTAAACCCAACTAAAAAGGAAAACAAAAGAAGTAATGTTCTGGAACACAAAAATGCAAAAGAAATGGTCAAACAGGATCCAGTGCATTCGGCCTAATTGTTTACTTAATTGGAGTGTTGTATAGAAATACAGCATCTCGGCCTCATTCTTTCTACTAAATTATTTTGTAATTTTTCTACAAGTTCTCAAGGAGGAACCCGTGCACTCATACAAATTGCCGCGCATCTGTTTTGAGTTCAACAAAATTTCAACGGCCACTGAAATCACGAAACAATTAGAAATGAACATGCAAATTATACTTGTACCTACAAAGTTAGTACAGCTCGTACCTCCTTATCGTCAGTGACTTTGAGAACCAATTTACCGTCGCAGTGCCTGTATTTCATCGCATAACGAGTCTGCGCCACAAAAATTAACAACTATCAAGTTAAACAGACCGAAGAGAAATCAAATAAATTGTAAATAAAGGATTTACTTTCTCGGGATCGGCACGAAACAATTGGACGGCTTTTTCTACAAAATCGTCCCATGATGTGATGTAAACCATTCTGATTACACAGGCCAGTCGTCAATCTCTGGGTAGATTATGAAGGCTTTTGGACAGTCTCTCTTGGACTTTTATACTGGCATATTCATGGGTTTTCACCGGATTTTTGAAAAAAGCGACGTCGTTTCCTGAGCTGAGCTGAGCTGTGCTGCGATGTGATGTGAGTCCACGTAGCCGGTTTGTTTTTGATTAAAATCCAATTAAAATTGAAAATATGGCCGTTATTGGGTCCCACTCATCTAATAAAAGTCAACAATAACGACTAATTTTTTAATTTTAATATCTACCGAACACGCACGTAATATCACTCCTTTAGTTCCAAGAATATGAACCAATTCCTATTCTAAACTTGACGCGTTTAATGCGATAGGTTATATAAAAATGAATAATGTTTGACATAGGAGTTGATCAATCTCTCACATTGTATGTAGGTCCCGACTTGAATTAAATAATGTCGACCTTCCCATACGTGTATGTTGTGTCATCCCCTATGTCAAGCATTATGTTTGTATAGCAAAACTCTATAAAAATTGATATTCAACAACCATAGCCTCGACTAAAATTTTATTCATTTTTGTTGGAAATACAAGTAAAATAATCCGACATCTCGATTGAAATGTTGATTCAAAAAATACGTTAAATGATAAAGGATTAAAAAATGGATGAGATTAATTTCTCTCTCCATTATTTGATGATTGCCAAACTCTAACCTATTGACTCTGGAATTGCTACTACTCCACTTTACATAAATTATGTTGTTGAGTTCAATGTAAATTTCGTCATGTTATGGTTACTCTAATTCTTTCTACTTACTAGAATATTTTTTTTATGTATTTGTTATATGCAACGTGTTTGCATGATAAAGGGATTGTGTTGCTCTATCTAAAAGGTTACATATGACTAATTGGGGTCTCAACAAGTAATATACGAGGCATGACANTAGCTGAGGTGCCTAAAGAGGTACAACCGAGGCTCCCCAAATGGCTAGCCGAGGCTCTCCAAATGACTAGCAAGGTGCCTAAAGAGGTACAAACCGAGGCCCATGTTGAGGCCGAGGTCCATACCAAAGTCGGGGTCCATGCTGAGGCCGAGGTCTATACCAAGGACGAAGCCCTACAACATTGAGCCGAACCACTGCCTAAGGAAACAAAGAAATGAGCTAAGGCTTTCCACTCGGAAAACCACCTCAAAGATCTCTCCGAAGCTATTAACTCTTCCGAAGTTCACGAAGCCGACGTTGTCTCTTGTAATAGATTTGAAGATCTTTAAGAAGTGATTGATGTGACGTCTGTAATAAAGTTTTGACAGTGTGTCAGCCTATTGTATAGAGCGACTGACCTCTTATCAATGCATTAATTGCATGAATGGACAATGATGTGACGTCCCAACAAAGGAGATGAGGCCACGTGGTTATGATCCAAAGGTCACCACCTCGGCTAAGACAGCATAAATAGGCTCTCTTTGTAAAGAAAAGGGGTTGGGATCTTTGTAATTAGACAATTAAACACAAAATACCTTCATTCTCGTGAAAGACACAGATTGAAGAAGATTTACATACTTTGTTCTTTACATATTTTGCAAACACAATAGCAAATATATCAAGATTCCAACATGAAACACAATTTTATTATATCTAACCTTCCTCATATTCTACTACAAAGAAGAGATTTATTTTTGATTATCATGGCTTGGTGATCATTGATAGCGTGGTTGCCTTCATATCATACCGCCGGAGTCCGAACATTTTTGTCTCTTGCCGGAAAGTAACTCCCGCGTCCATTCCAGCCAGAATACCGTTCTTGTTCCGGTAGAAACGCGCCGGATCCGTACTTGACGTGGCAAGAGTGGGCCGGCATCTGTTGAGCTCATTTTTTGGGGTCAACAGAAAGCATTGAGAAATCAGCGAACCAATAGTCTACAAACAGATGTACCATTCATCTAATATCTAACTTAAAGCCAACTAAAAAGGAAAACAAAAGAAGTAATGTTCTGGAGACTGGAACACAAAAATGCAAAAGAAATGGTCAAAGAGGATCCAGTGCATTCGGCCTAATTGTTTACTTAATTGGAGTGTTGTATAGAAATACAGCATCTCGGCCTCATTCTTTCTACTAAATTATTTTGTAATTTTTCTACAAGTTCTCAAGGAGGAACCCGTGCACTCATACAAATTGCCGCGCATCTGTTTTGAGTTCAACAAAATTTCAACGGCCACTGAAATCACGAAACAATTAGAAATGAACATGCAAATTATACTTGTACCTACAAAGTTAGTACAGCTCGTACCTCCTTATCGTCAGTGACTTTGAGAACCAATTTACCGTCGCAGTGCCTGTATTTCATCGCATAACGAGTCTGCGCCACAAAAATTAACAACTATCAATTTAAACAGACCGAAGAGAAATCAAATAAATTGTAAATAAAGGATCTACTTTCTCGGGATCGGCACGAAACAATTGGACGGCTTTTTCTACAAAATCGTCCCATGATGTGATGTAAACCATTCTGGTTACACTGATTACACAGGCCAGTCGTCAATCTCTGGGTAGATTATGAAGGTTTTTGGACAGTCTCTCTTGGGCTTTTATACTGGCATATTCATGGGTTTTCACCGGATTTTTGAAAAAAGCGACGTCGTTTCCTGAGCCGAGCTGTGCTGTGATGTGATGTGAGTCCATGTAGACCGTTTGTTTTCGATTAAAATTCAATTAAAATTGAAAATATGGCTGTTATTGGGTCTCACTCGTTTAATAAAAGTCAACAATAACGGCTAATTTTTTAATTTTAATTCAATTTTAATCTCTACCGAACACGCACGTAATATCACTCCTTTTAGTTCCAAGAATATGAACCAATTCCTATGCTAAACTCGACGCGTTTAATGCGATAGGTTATATAAAAATGAATAATGTTTGATATAGGGGTTGATCAATTTCTCACATTGTATGTAGGTCCCGACTTGAATTAAATAATGTCGACCTTCCCATACGTGTGTTGTGTCATCCCCTATGTCAAGCATTATGTTTGTATAGCAAAACTCTATAAAAATTGATATGCAACAACCATAGCCTCGACTGAAATTTTATTCATTTTTGTTGGAAATACAAGTAAAATAATCCGACATCTCGATTGAAATGTTGATTCAAAAAATACGTTAAATGATAAAAGATTAAAAAATGGATGAGATTAATTTCTCTCTCCATTATTTGATGATTGCCAAACTCTAACCTATTGGCTCTGGAATTGCTACTACTCCACTTTACATAAATTATGTTGTTGAGTTCAATGTAAATTTCGTCATGTTATGGTTACTCAAATTCTTTCTACTTACTAGAATACTTTTTTTATGTATTTGTTATATGCAACGTGTTTGCATGATAAAGGGATTGTGTTGCTCTATCTAAAAGGTTACATATGACTAATTGGGGTCTCAACAAGTAATATACGAGGCATGACATATATCCAGTTAAATCGCAACAGTAAGAGATTACGTGACAATGAATTCTTGAGATGGTACAATGGAAAATTGAAATGAGGTAGACCTTGATACAACGTGTGATATTGAAAAATGGAATGAGGTTGTCGCTTGAAAGGGATTTCGAATGATAACTTTAGGATCATCTGCTTCCTTCTTTATTGTTCTGGCATTCCTAAGAAACTGACCATTTGTGTCAAATGTCCCACCTAGTACCGCTTAGCTTTTCGGTGCTTATAAGTAGTGGATCTCAAAAAATGTCCAATTAAAAGTCAATAAGTTGAAAATCCAATTGAATGCGTAGTTGTTTGACCAACTTGTAACCACTACCGAACATGCACTAATTAATTAAAGAAAATGGCATTTGAAGAAAACAGAGAGCTACATTTCATTATATAAAGGAAAATGGAGGCTGCTCAAGTAGAAGACATCAAACAAAAATTACTATCAAGTCCAATGGTAATAACAGTACATTCCACGAGTCCGAGATGATGGGAGAAAATCACTCCATAATATGAAAACTCACCTGCATAGTAGTTGCACTAATGTACAGACATCCAAAGAACACAGACACACGAGACACCCCAATCTAAAGTGTGTTTAAACCTCCGGCAGTTCATGAACCAGTTCAGCAGTTCATCCGCCCAACTTCTTTCCCAAAAAGAAAGAAGTCCCCCCCGGTAAGCTAACTTGGAGAACGACTCTCTCTCCCCCCAATTTATGACTATTGTAACAGCTGTAAGAAATATGATATCACGAGTGCTCATAACGAGACGGTGTGAGGAAGTGCAACTTCAACTTATACTGAAATCCAAATGATGTTTATATAGATTATTGAAGATATGAAGAATGGAGGCGAATACATTCAAGGAGCTGGGACTCTGCGAGCATATGCCAATATCATCACGAAATCCGAAGCGGACGAACCAATTGTGGCAGACACTTTTTCTAAGGAAGTTGATTGAAGCCACAAGTCAATCAAATTATTTAGTTGCAATGTGGGAACTACTGACTTGCCCATGCATTTAATTTCAACCTACAAAAAAATCAGTAGAACAATAAGCAATCTCTAGGTTCAATAATCTATAACACATGCCGAGCGCTAGAGTCTACAGCACAGTATATGTTCATTTATCCAAATCGAACATTCTAGACAATAATATAAAGAAATTGTCTCATAAAGCAATCCTGATAAAATTATCAAAAAAACTTGTTTGGCAGTATTCATGATAGTATATGGTGGGTGGCTTTGATGGGGCTGTATAGGGCGATACTAAGTTGGGTATGTAAGATACGAATTTTTGGGGTGGCAAGTATTCACCGAAGATGAAAACTTTGAAGTTCTTCAGAAGTGGGGGATGCAGCGGGTAATGGTGGTTAATCGGGGAACTACAGTGGCAGCAGGGGATGCACTGTAGTGGCAGGCAGAGGGTAGTTTATGTTGGGCATAGATGTAAGAGGGAGAAAACCTACGGAGGTGGCCAAGAAAGCACGAGTTGCCAGAGAGAAGCTGAGAAATCTGATGACAAGTTATTCGACTTTGTTCTCTCCATTTTTAAATGTCAAACATAGATACACAGTTGAAGAACCGTTGAAAATTTAAGTGAAACGGAGACGTATCACCTTAGAGCATGTTTGGGAAGTGATCAAATATACATTCCAAGTAATTAGGACATAACGTTCTTACATTTCAATATTATTGTGGAAAACATCATTGCCTTTTATTTTTTAGCATTTTCACCCTTATTTCCACCTTTTATTGCACAAAAGGTCTTTTTTATCAATTTTCTCAATTAAAAATTGTGAAATGACGAATATACCCTTCTTTTTAAATAAAACAAAAGAAAAGAAAGAGCTAATAGCAATCATAGTCCCATTTTTTTTAAAAAAGTACAAACAAGTACCAAATAAATTATTAAAAGGGTAATTAGCACATATGTCCCTACCTTTCACTATTAATGTGAAAAACGTCCATACCTTTTATTTTTTGGCATTTTCACCCTTAATTACATATTTGATTGTGAAAACCATCATTTCTATCCATTTTCATCCAATTTTCCAATAAAAAACTGTAAAATGACGAATACACCCTCATATTTAAATAAAAAAGCTAAAAAACTAATTGCAATCATAATCCTAAATTTTGTTAAAAAATGCAAACGAGTCCCAAAGAAATTATTAAAGATAGAAATAAAAATACATAGAAATGATGGTTTGCGCAATCAAATGAGTAATTAAGGGTGAAAATGTCAAAAAATGAAAGGTATGGACGTTTTTCACAATAATAACGAAAACTATGGACATTATGTGCTAATTACCATTCTGATAATTTATTTGGGACTCATTTGAGCATTTTTTAAAACTTTAGGACTATGGTTGCAATTAATTGCCTTTTTCCTTTTGTTTTATTTAAATAGAAAAATATATTCGTCATTTCACAATTTTTAATTGATAAAATAGATGAAAATGACATTGTGCGCAATGAAAGGTGGAAATCAAGGTTAAAATGCCAAAAAATGAAAGGTAAAAACGTTTTCCACAATAATAGTGAAAGGTAAAGATGCTATGTGCTAATTACCCATAGATTCCCCCTACTATTATCCACACATTCCATATGATCACAACTTTAATCACTTAAGGCCCCGTTTGGTTTGTGTTTCAGTTTTCTATTTTGAATTTTGAATTCATTTTGAATTTTGTGTTTTGAGAGTATATTTTAAGATTTCTAAAAATGCATTTGGTTTGTCATTTTGAAAAATTATTTTTCAAAACAGAAAATTAGAAAACACGTTTAGTTTGAAATTTTGTTTTATGATATTTTATTTAATGAAATTTGATTATTCATTAAAAATAAAACAAATTTATGTTAATATATTGTGTGATTCACTTTCTTGCTACAAAAGTAAAATAAAAACAAATAATGAATTGAGTTTAAATTATATGAAATAAAAATAAAAATTAACGATGTGGACGAAGAAATTTTTTCTCTGTGTTCGCTTAAATATTTACCTAAAATTTTTGTATAAATAATTATTAAAAGCTTGAACTATTTTTGTTTATTAATTTTTAGAAATCCTTATAATGTTTATTTTTTATTTTTGAATTTATTTTTCTTAATTTTTTATTTTTGAATTTTCAAATTTAAAATTTATTAGAATATTATATTATTCTTTTTTAAAATTTCATTTAAACGCTTGTTTTCCATTTTTCATGTGTTTGCAGAATTTTCACTGAAAATACTCAATGTCAAAAATGCATTTTCAGTTTTATATTATAAGTTTATCCTTATTTTTGAAAATGAAATTTTAGAAATACCAGACTAAACACATTTCCAGTATTTTACAAAATTGAAAATTGAAAACAACAAACCAAAAACACCCTTAAATTTTAATTTTATCACTTACCAAACATGCATGTTGGCATACAAGAACGAGATACAAAATCCATGACTCGCCCAAATTTGCTCAAAATTAATAAAACTATTATTAACCAAATTCACCGCTCATAAAAGTCGAGGCTAAATTCACTTACCTCATCTTCACTTGTAAGATCTAGTTTTCTCATCAGGTATTTTTGGATAAAAGAAATGGGTATGCTCCCATCCCTGTGAGTGAATGAAACAAGTATAAATAAGAATGTGTCTTGACTACAATAGAACACAACAGTATAACATTCTATAAGACCCACGAGAGCATACCAAAAACCAGATTGTGCTGTGCCCTTACAAATTTATTCTCCAGAGGGACAATGAGAGACTCGGAAAACCACATTGTATTATTAAGTTTGATGCCGTTCAAGAAAATGATAAATTCAATCACGAGATAACACCCCCCACCCCCAAAAAAAAAGAAGAAAAGAAAAAGAAACCCACTCCCTGAGGGAAAGATGAACGAACTGCTTGACAGCTAAATTTCTTTTGTAACCCCTTCTCTTTATGCATGTGCATGCTGAATTCCATTGGAGAAGAAACGAACTATTTTATAGGATCCTATAGGAGTTTTAAGTGTTTAACCATACAGCTCGAGGCTTTATCTCTTCCATTTTGATGCATCAACAAAATATTATCTTCAACACGATGATAAACTTTCACAAAACTGAAATGGAAATATGAAGCTATTCCATCTCTTTATGGCCGAATTGCAATGTGGAAAGTAAATAATTTAAGCTTAATGACCTCTTTGACCTACCGTAAATACATCTCAAGAAAAATTTATTATTACTAGCTCTTTGACAATCATGATTATCAACTGGATTTTGACATTTGAACCTAATCAATGGAAGATGAAATACACCAGCTGAAGGGATTTCTTTTTTTTTTTTTTTCCTGTTTTTTGATCATTTGGCTGAATGCTTCTATATACAAACAAGCCTATAAAAAAACATATATATCACCGCATATAAAATTGATATACCCAAAAAAAATAAAAATAAAAGAGTCAAAAAAACAAGATTACGCTTACTTGAGTTGCATAATTGCATCACTGTCAAAAGCATAAACAAGGCAAGAACTGGAGTTTCATGAGGGATTGAGCATAGGCAATCTGCAATATTGCCACTCGTGTGGTGGACAATAGGATGGCACTAAGTGCATTCGTCAGTAACGAAGAAAGATTGTCTTACATTTTACCTGAAACTACAACTTCGTACTTCACACTGACCAAGTGATGAAGTCTAAAAACTAAATAAGATAGGGTTTTCTATTAATTTATTTCTTTCAATTTAAGTTATAAGGGCACTTATGTCCTTCTGCAAGTTTATGATTTTGTCCTATCTAGGTTTTGTATTTAAACACTTTATAAGTCTTTGTTTTGGTTGATTAGTTATTGAATAAAAATTGAGAACTTTCTCATCTTGTTGAATTTTCGGTATTCTTGTTAGAATCAACAAATATTTGACTCCCAAATATTCAATATTCACATAATCAAAGGATTTTTGGAGTGCATTGAATCTCTTCATTTTTCTGCTGCACCACCAAGGGAGATTCATTCTGTCACACAGTTATATCTGTGTAACTAAAATGAGATTCGAACTCACTTGTAAGATTCCAAAGAAATTCAAGTGTAATTTTGATACTTCGCCAGAAGTTCTAACAGAGACTTCCTTCAACGGCACAATAACTACGAGTTACAACTCATATTTTAGTATTCTTTAGTTTTCAAGTAACCTAGTTCAAATGTAACCTACAAACAATTGTCTCTAAGCAAACGTGTAAGCTCTAGTAGAAGTTGATTCCAAAAGTGATACTTCGGGATGTTTTACAGCTCTAATCACTCATCAGTTCCAATATGCACATATCAAATGAGTCTTGAGGTCTTGGAAGATATGCATGGGTAGAAAGACTGGCTAGGGAGCAGCATGTATAAGAGCAGAAATAGGAGAGGAGGGGATTTTGGGACCACATACTGAAAATTTGAAATTTTAATTGAAGAGACTGCTGGAGGCAAGAATAGGACTTTATTTTGGCTGACAAAGGTTCAGGCTAATAAGCCTCTTTCAATAGATTTATTTCCGTCAATTATCATGAAAAATCTTAACACAAGGCAATTCAAATAAATTAGAGAACAATTATGAAGGCAGTTATTTATAACATGAACCACCAAATAGCAATATATTTTGAAACAAGCAATGCTCATGTTAAAATTGCAGGAAACTAGCACATCCATATAACCACTGGGTAGAAGTTGATATTTGTGGCTGCTTTTCATTTTAGGGGGCATCTAATGAATATTGGAAGAAAATGAGGGCAACTGAGACCCTTTTGGGTAAAAAATGTTGCTTTGCCACACCAAATGGCAATGACAGCAGCAATCACAAACAGTGACAACAGTAATAACTTACATTATGTGTAATAAGAAGAGTGGAACTGAATTCCCTCAAATCAAAAGAATGAAATGCTGGGAAAAGAAGATAAGAATAAAAGATATTCTTAGTAGATTTCGAATACAGATTTAGTTTGATTTAAATTAGCTTATTTCAGTTTATTATAGTTTCCCAGTTTGATTTAAATTAGGGTTTATTTCCTTAATTTCCTTCTTAGATTAGGTTTTCTTAAACTCTTATATAAAGAGAGATTGCCATTGTAATAGTTAGACTTGATAACTAAGTAAACTCATATTTTTTCACTCTAAATTAGCACTATTTCTACCCTTTCTTCCATTTCTATTGCTTTCTTCTCAAGTCTTATAAATTGTTGATTGTGAATCTTTGTTTACAAGCTTCATACATCAAAAAAGAAACGGCATTCTCATAACAAAAGATGATGCTTTTTGACATTTTCTTCCTTTTTCCCCTAACTAATGTCCGCATCACTTTATTTGAGAGTCACCAGGAATCACGTAGTAATTTAATTCGAAAAGAATTAGTTGTCGAAATTTGATTTTTTTTTAAGTTGGATTGTGTTGAAGATAAGATTCAAATGAGACACCTAAGACCATGAGTTCAAGGCTTGCCACCAATTCTTTAATGAAATTTGCATATGTCAGGCTTTTATGGAAAAGTAAATTTCGTCTACATGTGAGGGGACATGCTGAAGAGAAAATACGTAGGTCTCTCCAACAGCATAAGCTTTTGGATCAAGTGGTTCAGCTCATCGCTATGCCACCATCAAACCATATGCTCCAGAATATAGTACATGGATTATCAAACTATTGAGTATGACTTTGCTGATTTGTGAGACAATTAGATCAGAATCGATGCTGAAGGGGCTTCAATTATCACCAAGAAGATAATAAATATACAATGCATCAATAAATGTCAACCACTTATAACAAACCTAGATAAACAAGAAAGCAGGCCATACAATCCAGGAACAAGCTAAGTGTATTACCATACTCGCACCAACATAGAGCTGACCAGAGTCGGTGCACCCTAATGTGATTGTAGGAGTCCTCTCAAAATTCGTACAAGAACAAAGGCCATCTATTGGTACTTGGTAGTATGCAACAAGTATTATGCTGGCCATAAAGGCAGTATGGTATAATTATCCGGTGTTTGAATAGTTCACTGCAGCTAACAATTCTCTAAGGCAGGAGCTAAAGAGGCCAGAAAAGAGAAGAGGATAATTTAACAAGTGCTCAACGTAGTGAAAAAGGTAAGGGATATAATGTCTGTTGGCAAGCCGCATATATCTTTAAACCCCTAAAAACATGTGGTACTGTGTTAAATCGGTTAGTTTTATCAATATCAAATTAACGACATTATGCAAACTACAGGTTTTTCTGGGTAATATTACCAGATCAACATCTCTAAATATGCACTATTTGATCAAATAAAATGTTCATTAAACAGTCAAAATGAAAGGAAGCTAATGAGAACTCACTTTATTCTCAAGTAACTTGCAGAAATCTGAGGCAAGGGTGTATCTCCATCCCTGAAAATATAATACACAAATTAGATGATATGGATATGTAGATGGAATACATAACCACAAACAGTCCCTTCAGAATATCTAGTCAATAGAGAGATGAAGTTAATTAATACTGGTTGTCCGCAGCCACCAACGAGAACCAAATTGGATTGTTTCTCCTTTCACGTTTAATACTGATAGCATCAAGCACAGTCTGGGGTGAGGTACTAAATTCCCCAGAATTCTGAGCCTTTTTCTGGCGGATTTTGCGCAATTTTTTAGGTTTTACTGAATCTGGGGGTGAACGTTCACTGCTGTTCTTCCCATCTTGAAGAATTGATTTCTGACCATGTTCTTTACTTTTGGTTTTACGAACATGTCCTTCGTTGTCTTGGGATTGTAGAGCTTCTGATTTAGCAGCAGAACCTTGTGAGGTAAATTTTGAAGACTTACTCCTATTTGCGGCCTCCACCAAACAATTTAAAGGTTTCCAAGGATCAACTTTCCCTTCCCTTGGTTCAGAACCACTCTCTCTTCCATTATCTGGTGTAGAGTGGCTAGATGGCTGAATAGCAGAGTTCTGCAAAAGCAATGTCACTAAGCATGAAAAGTTGTGTCTGTGGAAATATGACAAGGAAGGTAGAATAAAGCATATGGAAGCAGCCTATGTATGAGGCAATGTCCGTCAAGCTTCAAAAATATATTCCTTACCTTCCTGTTATTCTGAGAGAATTTGTTCAAACTCTCGGGTGAGCTAGAGCTATCGAGATGGTCTTCCACAGAGTCCTCATCTTTCTTAAGAGGTTTCTCTATGGTAAAACTGGAACCTCTTGATGCTTTCCTTGCAACAGACTTTGATCTTCTTCCAGTCATGCCACTCTGTATCGATACTCTGGGAGTACCGACAACCAATGATGAAAGAGATCTTTCCTTTCTCTTTGCCGGTAATGTAACTGGAGTCACCACTTCAGGTGCCAGTACCTTTCTCTTCTTGTAAGGGAATATCTTAGTCCTTACATCTTGCAAATTATGATCCGGCCTAATAATCAAATATCAATAGACATACTTAACAAAAAAAATTCTGATCTTTCCAAATGCCGAATTTACATATATTAATGTACTTGTGTGCACAAAAAAGAAGAGCACAGAATCTTATCATTAAATACACTAACAAGCCCTGCTCCACATCAAATGCTGAGAGTAATACCCTAGAGTCTCTACCTGAATTAGGACAATGATAAACCTGCTTCCCAAAACTTCAATACCAGTATAAGTAAATATAATCTCGATACTAATAAAAACGCCAGTTAACTCAGAGCTTGGGTAAATTTTTTTAATTGGAACTCCTAAATCAGTCTTATTATCACTTTTTTTATTATTTTTCATTTCGCAAAACTTTAGAACCGTCAATATTGAGTTAGAGACGCCTGAGGTTAAATTGCCTGCACATCAAATCAACATAAGGATGTTGTTCGGTACTTTTGACATAATATGAGTTCCAAATTTGTGTTTATTCTCGCAATCTGAGCACATGCTGTATCATGCAAACAAACAAATCCCATGTTTCACCCTATGAATAACCAGCTTAGCATTGCAATACCAATAAGTCAGTAATTAGGTTGTGAACTAAAAATGATACAAGAATAGTTCCACTCGATAAGAGTTTCCAGTATCCAAGGTGGCCTTTTTAGTACTATACAGATGAGTGCTGAAACTGTATAATCAAAATGATCTGACAGAAATTTATACATGAATTACTGTTGATCTATTTCCCTCTGATTAAGTGTTCGCCTTCTTTTTTATCTTGCTTGAGAAAGTGGTGGTAAGAACACATTATGAAGTTAGAAGAAGTATCAGACCTCAACTTCTCCACTGGAACACATCCTAAATCAATGTTGCATATTGGACAGCATTCCAATTCCTCGTCTGAAAGCTTCTCATATATGCATTTCCTACAAACTGGATGATATTCAGAAACAAGAATATCAGATTCCTCAACCAAATTTTTCAAAGATTATCCAACGAAAAAAATAAAAAATAAAATCTTGAAGCTCAGAAAATCCAAATGAGAACAAAAACAAAATTGGTATAGCAAAATCTAGCTCACATCAAATGTAGAGTTTCCCGGGGGAGAATCACTTACGGAACTTCAGGTGATGGTTAACAACTCGAGCAGGAAATAGAAAATGTAATATAATCTCAAACTGAAAATATAAATATGCAAAAGGTCCACGCAGAAGGGCATACAAATGAGAAACGTCCAAACATATATGCAATTACTAAAGACCCATGAAAACATAAAAAATTCCCAGAGAATTAGAACGCAATTCATGCGACAAAACCCAGAATCCATAACACAAAATGCAAAATCAAATCGAGGAACTGATAATGAAACCCCACGATCCGAAGAAAACCAAAATTTGACTAATTGGCACTAAATTCGGGACCAAAGTAGAAAACAAATAATATGATTTCAAACAATTACAGCAAAAGAGAGCAACTCACACGTATGTAGGCATTCGATAATAGTGGTGGCATCGCGGAAGAGCTTATTGCAAAGAGGGCATGTCATGCATGCCGTAATTGTGTCCCTATTCACCTTCACCGTCTGATTTGGCATCTGAACTCTAGATCTTGGCAACGTTCTAAGTCAACGGCAGCAACTACACCTGATGAACTCAACTCCACCACCACGTATTCATATCGTGCATGCTAGCGCCACCACATGAAACATGGAATTTACGTCCATTCTCACTTTCTGCACCAAACCTAAACCCAAAATTGTTACGACAAAAGCAAACTACAAGCACGTCTAACAATATGTGAACACACGTGAATATGCAGAGATGTGGAGTGGACTATTATTATAAGAACCCATAAATCTACGGAGGTGAGATTGGGGGGAAAGAGGAATGTGGAATAACGATGGATTTGGTGCGGCGGGGCTGGGCTGGGTTGGGCGGGGTGGGGTGTGGTGTGGTGTGGTGTGGTGTCTCGCATATGATCTGTACCTGGAGTATGAAAATTGGGAGCAGCCGAAATCGAGAGAGGGAGTGGCTGGGTGGGTGTGGGCTTGCTTAAAAAGCAAATTAGCATTTAGCAAAATTTAAAATCTGAAATTAGAAATGGAAAATAGCAGAAAAGGTCCCCACTTTTAGATGCATGTTGCACATTGGTCCCTATTCTTCAAAATGAAGCATTTGTATCATCTAGCTTTCATTCTAGTGGCACTTAAGTCCCATAAACAAGAATAAAAAAATATTATTCATCTCCCATCCCATGTCAATGTGATTGGTGGTAGTTATAATTGCAAGAAATGGGGTCTGATGGAGATTTTTATTTAAGAAAATGGTGGTATAGTATTTTCAATTAAAAGTCTGTTTGAGCCCTTTTTTTTGTTCAAAATATATGTTGAAACTGTATTTTAATGAAAAATATGTGGTTAAAAAACATGATTATTTTTTTGAATTTGCGTGTAATGTTATTTTATTAAATAACGTGTGATTAAAAATAAAAGAGAAAATATTTTTTGAAAATAACGGAAACCAAACAAGAGCTAAACTTTAGCTTATTAATTTAATTGGGATAATGTTATTGTCATCATTAGTGACCATCATCCTGTGTTATTTGTCATTAAATGATAGGTCGAGTAACATACGCAACGTGATCGTGCATTTAAATTGTGCATATTAGAGTGTGTTTTGGACACATTCTTTTGAAAGAATGTATTATTGAATAGTAGATTAATGGAGAATGCGTGATTAAAAATGAAAGAAAAGTTATTGATGTAATGGAAAATATTATTTTATTGAATAATGTGTGATTGAAAATGTGCAAAAGAATGAAAATGAAAAAAATAATATGTACCAAATAGAGCCTTAGTGCATGTTTGGTTTAGATGAAAATTAGGTATTTGGTAAATTTTAAAAATTGATAAAATATATAATTAGGGTCTGTTTGTTTTTTATTCTCAAATTCTACAGTAAATCAATTCTCATTTTCAACTACACATTTTTCAATAAAATAATATTTTTCATCACATCAATAATTGTTTCTTCTTTTTCAACCACACATTTCCCATCATATCACTGTTCAAAAATCAATTATTCTCCCAAAAATTCCTACCAAACAAGTACTAGAAAATTTGATAAACAATGTAAGTCTAGTGAAATATGTAATTGAAAATGAATTTTAGAAAATAAGGATTAAACAGGAGCTTAATGTCACTAACTCACTATATTATCACATAAGGCAATGATGATGGTCATATACCAATGATCCATTAATTGAAGACGTATGAGTAATGTTATTATTATTACTTATTAATGGTAATTATCGCTAGTTTAGGTGTGTGCAATCTATGATTGGCTATTCAACCATATTGTGATGCATTTAAATGCATCGATGTAAGGCCCACTTTCACCTAAACTGTAATGATCAATAATTAATGGTTAATATCATGATTCAAGTAAAAAATTGTATTACGGATACCTAAGTGCTACAAAAATAAAATATTGGATATGTAAATGCTGCAATGTTCAAGATTGGAAACCAAAATGCAACACAAGTTAAAGTTTGCAGACCTCTTCTGCTATTTTTCCAATTGGAAATGCTAATAATTATTCATTGAGAGTTTGGGCGAGTGGGTCCAAGCTATAGCGTGAGCCCGGTGCGCGCTTACTTCATGTGAAAGATGGGCCCGTTTTGGGCCACATGTGGTCATGAATGCGCATGTGATCGATGGTCAAATTTTACGGCGGCAACTTTACCGGTTTCGGTGCGCTCAGTGAGTTCAAATTTCACCAACACGCTTCTTCTATGAAAATTTATCCCATGGATATTGTGTATCTAATTTAGAGTTTGTTTGGTGCAAATTAAAATGAGAGAATGCATTTTTTAAAGTAATGTGATGGAAAATAAGTGGTTGAAAATGAAGAAAAAATTATTGATGTGATGAAAAATATTATTTTATTAAAAAATGTGTGGTTGAAAATGAGTAGAAGAATGTGTGGTTGAAAAAAATAATGTGGGGCAAACAGGGGCTAATTATTTTTCAATTTAAAGAAACCTCTTAATCTAAATTTTATATGAATCAATTTTTTATTGATTAAAGGGCTTGTTTGAGCTCCCACATTTTTTTTTTTTTTGTATAAAATGCATTTTGAAATAATAGATTGATGGAGAATGTATGGTTAAAAATTAAAGAATAGTTTTTGAATTGTAAGTAATATTATTTTATTAAAGATTGTGTGGTTGAAAAGAAGAGAAAAAAATGTATTTTGAAAAAATGAGGATCAAACAAGGTCTAAGTAAGTTTTCTTTTAACCCGTGTTTGGTATTAAAATCCATATTTTAATTTAAATCAGAGTCAACAACTAATTTTAACTACACATTTTATGAGTCTCGCAACTTTCAATCCAGATCTCATCAACTTTTATCAAAATTTACTAAAAATCTGATTTTAATTCATATCGAACAGGGGCTTTATCGTTTTTTAAGATTTTTAGTTTTAAACAGGGGCTTAATTTGGAATAGTATATTGATGGAGAATGTGTGGTTAAAAATGAAAGAAAATTTTTGAATTGTGTGTAATATTATTTTATTGAAAAATATATAATTAAAAAGAAAGAGAGAAAAATATATTTAAAAAAAAAAAAAGAGAGAGATCTAACAACGTGCGAATGCACATACGAGTCAATGCTAACCTCGAAAAAAGTCAAGAGAAAAAGAGCACATATACTCGTAGCGAAAATGTTCTCCTGCCCGCGACGGGCAAGCTTATCCTGCCCACCTGCTGATGTGGCAGGAGAATCCTACGTGGGGTTCTCTCCAAATGTGAGAACCCCACGTTGGGTTCTCTCCGAGTGGGCATTATAAGCTTGCCCGCCGCGGGCAGGAGAACGGGACTGATACTCGTAGACATGGTGTTTTTAACCTCGAAAAAAGAGAAAAATGTGATTTACGTGATTCACCGCTTCATCAATTTACACTCAATCAGTGGGACCCACGTTGATTATCCCATAAAATTCGTTTTAGAAACTTCTCGAAACCCATTAAAATTCCTAAAACAGAGAAAAAAATATTATAAAACAAAAAAACCATAACTCAAATACACTTAATTTTCTAATACTAAAATTTGGGTGCTATATTTTGCTTATTATTAGAAGAAATATAGTCGTTGCAAATTTAAAATTGTGAAATAAAAGTCAAAAAAAGGGTTAAGTGAGGCCCTTAAAGGATAACATTTCTTTTTAAAATAAGATGAAGAAATGGCAAACAAACAGGTTAAATTTAGATCATAGCACCGAATTAAGAAATATTAAAATCTCCTCATTATTTGAAATATCAAATGATAAATTAATTTTTAAACACTATAATTTATATTTCGTTGACCTTTCATATCTCATCGGTCTTGTTGTCTATTATCCACCTCCCCGTCTACTTGTAAGTTTTGTGCACGGTAGGAGAACATGTTAGAATGCAAGGTTGGTACGACATAGGATGGTTCGATTATCACTTGTACTTCGTCATTCAAGTCATTGTCCTTTTCGTGTAGGTTGTCTCGAGTCATGCAACTTTTGCACCAAGCATTGCTTTTTTAATAGGCATAACTTACAGAATGATAAACAGTCGTGCAATTATTTTTTACCTCGTTTTAAAAGATTTTCAATGAACAACACTCATTATTAGATCGCGTGTAGAGTATCTCTAGCCTATTCTCCTAGGCTGCCATATGGTCAAATCTTCTTCTTCGCTAGAGATTCAAGATTCCACGAAGGACAACAAGTTGAATGCTATCATATAGGTTGAATGGTCCCTTATGTGAGGGACTCGTCTCATCTGGAGAAAACTTGTACTTAGGCACTTAGAATCGGGCTTGGTCGAGGCCACATGAGGTGACACGTATGTTAGGCTACCCATGGGTGGATGAGGTAGATACGTTGAGGCTATTCAATGTACGGGGTCGATTGTGGGTCCTTAAGATGCTACATGTAGATTGCACTTCATAGGAATATTCGAGATGCTCCAACGATTAGCAAAATTGGTCTCTAATCGGTTATGTTCACAACTAAACATTATTGTTTTTCGATATCTTTTATTTTCTTTAAATAAAAATAAAGTGTCCAAATATTGATATGATATATAAATTGCATAAAAAATGTAAAATTTGACTAACAAAACTTTTGAATCTAGACAAAATTCTAGACGCATTTTCTATTTTTTCTCTTTGTCTCATCAACTTCATAGAATTTTTGATTGCACGAGGAAATAATATTTTAAATACTATGGATAATCATATGATTGATCGCTGAACTTTGCGTAAGACTTTTAGATGATTGCTGAACTTCTAAAGTTTTCTCATTAGTAATTGAACTATATAAAATGTAATATCATTCAATGACTTAACGGATGAACTTTTGAAGTTCTCAATAATAGATGTGATTACATTTTGTAAAATTCGGCGATTAATGGATAAACTTTTGAAATTCAGCGATTTCTTGAAAACCTTACACAAAATTCAATTACTAATCAGGTAATTTATTAATTTTTATGTATTTTAGTTTTTTTTTTTTTTTTCCTTTGATCTTAGATAGGTCAATAGACAGTCACGTCGGTTAC